GATATCAAGAGAACTCACAATTAAAGTTGTTGATGGAAAAACTTTTGGGTTTCCATATTAGTCGGTAAATCAACAATGTCCCCCGAAGCACTGCAGTAGAAATACAAATAAATAATTATCTGCGCCGTGCCAACATTTTTTTACGTCATTAGGAAACGGCTACAGTAGGGTATGGACCTAAGGCACTTTCACATCGTCTGATCATAACGATCGTATGATTAACTAGCATAAGCATTAGCATAAGGTAAGTATCGATCGTTGGACGTGACGGACGACCGAGCAATCGATACGTACCCAATGCTGTGGATCATTACGATCGGACGAAAGACTAGAAAGCGCCCTAAGATAAGGTTAATCTTCTTATGTATCTGGTTCCAACTGTATTTTTACCCTGAAAGAGGAAGGTCAGAAGGCAAAGCGTGGTGCAAAACAAGATTGAGTCAGACTCAAAATGCAACCCCACCCGTTTTTTTTCATGAATCTGTGAAACTTATGAAGGCTTTCTCGAAACATCAGTTAAGCGCACACAAATTTCCCACATCCCAAAAAGGGATTGATCAACGGCAAATGCTTTATCCTTTATCCTTTATAATACACTGATTCGATACATAAGACTCTGCGGGCAGAAGCGATAGCTGTTGTCTGTTCTGAAATGCTTAAGAACTAACTCACGGGAACGCTCGTTCCAATGACCTGCTCTACTAAGCATGGACTAGTTTCATCACAGCTTTTAGGAGGATCTTCGCATCGTCGGTCACACCTCTAACGCGCGTTTTATGTTTTTGCACCGCGTGGGACAGAGCGATTTTGCGAGCGCAGCCGCCGCACACCAAATCCATGGATTTTGAGCTGTAAATACTTAGATGCGATGAAGTGTTTTCAATGATGTTCGATCTGTCTAGCTTATCGGGAGTTACAGTAATGGAAGTTCGACCGAAATGACATGTTAAGGCCATGAAAAGGCAAATTTTACCTACTTCCCCGGTGTCCCCAAGAGGCCCATCGCGCGGCGAAGGAAGAGACGCAGACGCGGCAAAGGACGAGTCGCAGCGCATACTGTAGCGGTTAGGCGTCAGGTTAAATAGAGTGTACCATACTACGTCTCATATCGCACAGCACGCGCTGCGACTCGTCCTTTGCCGCATCTGCGTCTCTTCCTTCGCCGCGCGACGGGCCTCTTGGGGGACACCCTATTTCTACCTTTAGTGAATCCAAAATTAATTTGGATGTGGTTGTTTCAGTTAAAACACAGGGTCTATTCCAGTTAGGGGGCATCATGATGCAGTTTCTCGGCGAACTAGTGTAAACTCGAACATTCCAGCTTTTCACGCATGTCAAGTGACTGCCCTCACCCCCCACCCCCTAGACTGGCTACACTCCCCCTGGCTCGGAGTTACCGTAGCTTCATGGAATAGGCCCAAAACACATACCTTCCCGTACGAATAGGTTTGTATTCGCTTCTGTTATTCCTTTTTATCAACATGTTTACGTTAATGAAAAGAAAACGAGGAATGAACTGAACAGACATATCCGTAAGGTCTGGAAAACCTCTGCCAAACTAAAGAATATTTGGCCTTTCTGTGAGCCATGTGGTTTTTAAGTATGCTAATGTATGACCTATAGAATGAGTACAAAGACCTTAGGAATAAGTCGCACAAGCGCAAGAAAAAGGGATGACTTGGGTGGGACGCGTTACCGCGTCACGCTGTCGTCAACGTGTTAAACACATTGACGACAACGCGAGTTTTGGCTTTTTTGGCCACGTGGGACCGCGGCGATTTTGCGGGCGCGCTCGCCTCAGGTCGTTCAAGCAGATTTTGAGTGATAAATACACAAATAATGATCAATTCAAAACCAGATCAGTAAATTGTAATGAGCGCAACCTACCAGGGGTACAGTAGTGGAATTTCGATCGAAAGACATGGAATAACAATGAAAAAGCGAAATTTGTCAGAACTAGCTGCAATGGACCTCAAAGCAATTTTACGTTGATTATTTCAATCAAAACACACATATTTGTCATCCCTAGGATTCCTTATCTGCTTCCACTAC